CCGTTTCTACATTCGGGCTTGTTTCTACTCTCCTAAGTGTTTGACTCGACTATTTCTCCATTTTGCGGTTGTACTTAATTTCAGGTCCACCCACCTCAGCTCGGATGACAACAATTGACTTTTCAAATAAGCTAGTTCGAAATTTTTATTTAAACTAACTTATCAGCTAATTTTATATAACAAACACAGCTTTAACCGAGCAAGTTATATACTTTAATAAGTGTAGCCATTATTTATTTATCATGAAAAGTAGTCGATGGAAAAAGACAATAAAATTGTTATCAAATAGCATGACAGACCAGTGTAAGTAAGGACACACTTAAATGTCGCCGCCACAATACGACAAAGCTTAGTTACAAAATGCAATGTCGCATTTAAAATAAATACAAATGCAATATTTGTCAAATTGTATAATTATTTATTACATTACATGGTTTTATTATTAATCAACATCTCTCATTAATGTTGAATGAAATTGGAAATCCAATTTCTAGCATTAAACACGAAAATTTTGGCAAGCAAAATCAAAACAGCAAACCTCTCTTTTTTTTATTTTCTTATTTTTAAATTCCTGAATTAAGAAGACTTTGTTTCCTAAAAGTCAATATCCAGAATTTATTTATAAATTAATCTAAATTATTTATTATTTTGGTATGCTGACAAACAATAGTAGTTAGCAAAATAATACTCCGATACAGGAGAACCATGAGCGACCCCTTATAGTGATGAAAATTTGGGAAATGCCTAAGGTCCCGTTACGGAATCATTCTGTAAGAGTTTGTAACCGCTAGATCATCATGTAACCGTCAGAGATAGTTGATCTAACAGGTAGAAATCCCGACGGAATAGTTCCGTAACGGGACCGTAGCATCTTCTTGAAAACTGAAAAGTCTGTTTCATGAATTGCAACTTGGCCATAAATATTGTCCTCTTATCACCTCCAAAAACGACCAACATCAATTATTTCATTGTGTTACCTTTTCTACATAATTAGCTTTTTTATTTATCACAAATATTATTGTTAGCTAGCTAGGCAATGTTAAATTCAAAACATCAAATATTTAGACGGATTGATCGATCATATCTACCTTATTTTTTAGATATTAAATTTGAAAGTATGTATATATATTCGTTACAAAAAAAAAAAATTATAACTTGTTAACAGTTAAGTTTGACTAACATCAGTCGTTTTTTTTTCACTGAAAAAAAAAAAAATCGTTAGTATCTAAGATTAAGAAATAATATATTTTTTCGGGTCAATTTTGATATTATAATTAGAAAAGTAATAAATAATCAAAACATGTAATTTTTATAATTCAATATGTAAAACTATATATTTTGTATGGCTCGTGTTTTTATTCATGCAACATCAAATTTCTGGTCAATATTTTTTTGAGTGAGCAAGTTGCAGCAGTTGATTGAAAATATTGACTCCTTTTTCTAAGGAAGACTTTCAACTAAACCCCACGAGTACTTTATATATATATATATATATATATATATATGACTTCATTTAGTGCAGTGCACACAAAGTAAATTAATTACAGGGTGGCCTGCATCTGGACATTTTAATTTTCTTCTTATATTTTATTAATTATTATTTTTATTTCTTGTATTTTTGTAATATTACTTTTGAAGAAAATGAACCTCAGTGCCAAAGATAAGAAGACTGTTGAATTTTTATTTCAATTTTGCACATTAATTGTTTTTTTTTTTTTTTTT